GGGAAAGCGGGGAATCGGGAAAGCGGGGAAACGGGAGAGCGGGGAAACGGGAAAGCCAAAGTTAGACTTATCGCGAGTCACCATTTTCGCGAACCTTTCAATCGCTGAGTTGCTCTAAAAAGAGTTATAGTATCTCCTGATTTTCGGTCTTGCGGCATCCTTAGAAGGGATGCCCCCTAAGCGACCCTCGCTCGGACTTTCCTCACGACGAGCCCGCACAAGAAAAGCGGCACTCGATCTTGAAACTGATATGGAGCGAGAGGCAAGGCTCCAAAGTCAGCGAGTACTCTACCGTCGAGCGCGGTCGAAACCCCGTACTCGCCAAAATGTGTCATTGGTAGACAACTCCCTCAGAATGGTGAATCTCTGCCTCTGGCAAGATTTTACCGGTATGGTTAATAATAAGCTGCATAGCAACTTCTAAAAATTAATTTAAAAATTAAGAATTGAACATTCTTCGGCCGATGCGTGACAAGAGGCGATTTTTCTCTATGGACCCCATGAGAACCGGTCTAGCTCCGGAAATATTGCTCGGATCACCACGGAACTTAGCGCGTTGGATTCCTGAGACAATTTCACACCTAAATAGCTGCATAGCAACTTACTAAAAATTAGAATTTAAAATTAAAAATTGAACATTCTTCGGCCGATGCGTGACAAGAGGGGATTTTTCTCTATGGACCCCATGAGAACCGGTCTAGCTCCGAAAATATTGCTCGGATCGCTTCGGAACTTAGTGCGTTGGATTCCTGAGACAATTTCACACCTAAATAGCTGCATAGCAACTTCTAAAAATTACTTTAAAATTAAAAATTGAACATTCTTCGGCCGATGCGTGACAGGAGGGGATTTTTCTCTATGGACCCCATGTAGAACCGGTCTACGCTCCGGAAATATTGCTCGGATCACCTCGGAACTTAGTGCGTTGGATTCCTGAGACAATTTCACACCTAAATAGCTGCATAGCAGTTTCTAAAAATTAAATTCAAAAATTAAAAATTGAACATTCTTCGGCCGATGCGTGACAAGGGGG